GAGTTCTAAGTAGATTCTGGTTATCAGCCCTTTATCGGATTTGTATAGGTTTTTTTTTTTTTTACTATTTTATTTTTTGCTTCTTTGACTGGATACCTTCCAATGATCTATTTTCAATTTCACTGATCCTTCCTTCTGTTTGATCTAGTCTGCTATCAAAACCCTCTAGTGAATTTTTCAGTTCATTTCTGAACTGAAAATATTCTTCTGCTCCAAGATTTGTTTGATACTTTTTATATTTTCTACCTCTTCGTTGAAATTCTCACTTTTTTCATGCAACATTCTCCTGACCTCATTAAGCATCTTTGTCATGGTTATTTTGAATTATCTGTCAGACAAATTATATATCTGTTTCATTAGGGTCAGTTTCTGAAGATCAATCTCTTCCCTTATTTGGGATATATTTCCTGTTTCTTCATTTTCCTTGTCTCTTGACGTTGATATCTGCACATTAGAAAAAACACCATCTCTCCCAGTGTTCATGGATTGCCCTATATAGGAGAATACTCTCACCAATCAGCCCAGTCAGAGATACTGGGGGTTGGGGGACCTCTCAAACCTTTGTGTTAGTGTAAACCTCTGTCTTTGTTCTTAGTAGCTCCTAGAATAAGTTGGGTGATGTAAGTGGTTCAAGACAGACAAGACAGAGTCTAGTCCCTTAGGCAGCCCATGGAAAAGTTGGAAATTTTGATTTGCAGTCAAACTCTTTCCCTCCCAAGGAGAACCTGGAATCTAGGGTTTTCTGCCCACTCACTCTGCACATCAGGGGAAGGGACTATGGCAATTGCTTGCATGCTAGTTCAAACTGCCATTTTTGTTCTCACTGGCCCTCAGGCTTCAAAGGTATGCTGGGTCTCATCAGTGGTCCGAGACAGGCAAGATTGAAGTGAATTCCTCAAGCAGCCCTCAGAAAAGTTGGAATATTGAACATTCAGTTCAGCTTTTTCCATATCCAAGGTGAAGCTGGAAGCTAGGAGTTTCCGTCAGATCATATGACTCTGTGCCAGGAACAGAAGTAATGGCAAAGAGGTGTCTCAAATTTTCCTACTGGCTGCAATGAAGCTGGTTTTGTACTTACCCAGGGTGTAGGAGCCTCTCAACTAGTTTTGGGACTTCTCAAAAAAGAATTTGTCTGTATATTGTTTGTGGGGAAAGAAAGGGCCCAGGGCTTTCTAATTCTGCTATCTTGATGACATTGCTCCCGAGCAAGCATTTTTATTAATAGTTTCATCTAAGTTTCAGGTTCTCATGATTATGATGAAAATCAAGCAATTGATTGCACTTGCAAACATTTGTCATTTGAGCAAATGTTCTATTTTTCCACCAGTTACGTTTTCTACCATATATAATATATATGTCCCTTTACAAAGAGTATTTTCTTCATCATTTACATATGTGAATGGATGACAGTGAGTGACACATGGTCATGAAGGCATCACTTCCATCACTGCTCCCACTATTTTACATCTCTATTTTCTTTCCTGTCTCCCTGTACAGGCTGGTGTCTGAGATCAGCTCTCAGCCCTCCTTCCCTTCATTCGTCTTCTCCTTCTTCCCCATCAACCTAATCAATATCCTATTCCCAAGCACCTGCTTGGCCCAGAACCAGTGCAGGCGGGGAAGTGTGGTGGCCTAGTTACCTCTGATGAGATGACAGAGAGGTATAGAAGAGACTCATCTGTGTCTTTAGCTGCTCCTTCTTTAAGCCTGGCTCCTGAATTATTCTCTGGGGGTTCCAGACCCTCCCTCTCCCTAAACCCTCTCCCCTTCTTCACTTTGAGACTCCAATGTGGCCTGTTCAATTCAGTGAATATTTAATTCAGCAAACACTTCCCTTCATTTCTGCACACATCTCCTGCCATCTTCCTGTAAGCCACTACTGTTTGTTCACTGGACTTATAAAAGCCCACAGCTCAGGCCCTAGGATCAATGAAGAAATTCCCAAAAGCTTACAGTTGGTTTTTCTCCAAAGAGGAAATGAATCTGATTCCATCCTTTGTATGCAAAAAACCTCCTTGTACTTTAAGGACCTCCTTGCACCCTAGTCTTCCTGACAGAGTGAGAAGAAAAGATAGAGAAGTATGGGGGCACAAGTGAATATTTGACTCCCTGATTCCATCTTCAGGCTATTTACTAACTGTGGTCAGGGTTCAAATATCAGCTCCACTGGCTGCTCACCCACTTTGCTTCTGCTCCTGCCACTCTCCATCCTGTTGCATTTTCTTCATGGCACTTGCCCCTGGCTGACATTTTCTTGTTCATTTATTTGTTGCTTGCTTCCATTGCCTACTAGAATCAGAGAAGAAACACTTTCTTGCTCACAAGTCATACCTTCAGTGGCTAGAATAGTGTCCAGCCCACAGCAAGTGTAGAATAAAATATTTTTCAACAAATATTTTATTCTATATGTGAATGAACCCTCCTTGAAAATCTGAAAGTGTCATACATCTTTAGATTTTATTTCACTGCATTTTAGGGTGGGAAATTATTTTCTACAATGGTAAAGGATTTGGAGATTCATAAATATCTCAGAGTATAGCCCTCATAAATAGCAAGGTCTATTTTATTCCTTTAGAAAATATGTATGTTAAATAGTTGTATCTGGACTGGCCTATAGACCTAACTAATTAATTGTCACAGAACCCTCTTTTTGTGGAAAAATGCATTTTATGCTCTAAACACATAGCATTCATAAGATGGAAACAGTTTATACTTATTAAGGATAGATTTACAATGTGATGAAAACTAACCAACATGGTCCAACACGCTGACCAAGGCAGTGACCTAGAGGGGACTTTTTGGTGATGAGCCTGTGTAGACACACTGCCACCAAGTGCTGCTTCATATAACCACAGGCTCTTCTTTCCTAAGAAAAAACTCTCCTCTGGCTACTGTGCACAAATGTTTATTATTTCACATGTTCAGTACTTGCTTAAGCAAATAAAAAGGACACAAAATTGTCTGGAATTCTGGGTGTTACGATCCAAAACCAATTAAATAAAATTAAAAAAAATCAACTCTTCTTACCACAAGAACATCAATAAAATAAGCCACCTCAGCACCAACAATGCATAGATTGTTTATAGCATGGATTTATTCCAGTGAACCATTAATCCAGTCTAAATTAATGCAGTTTATATCTTCCACTTGTAGCAGTGCCTGGCACAAAGATTTATTATGAATACTAAAGAAATAAGTGGTAAAGAAAACCAAAGTGTCTCAAGACTTGATTCCATAATAAGAAATAATATTAGTGGGTATTAATTGAGAATCTACTATATGTTAGGCTGTATCCTAACCCTTTTATATATATTAACTTATTTCATTCTTACTCAATGAGATAGATAAGTTATTTTCACCATAGGGTCTTATAAACAATTGCTTATGATATTAGCAGTCTATTAATCTCAAGCATAAGAGAGTAAGATTAATTTCATGGAATTAAGTTGGGAATTTTTTTCCTTAAGTTAAATGAGAAATTGATCGTACCATTTAATCTTTTGTAAGGGAAGAATTTACACAAGAATGATTGTAAGAATCTGTTCCCATTATAATCTATGCAATTCATAATAAATAAAAATAAATGGAAAATGGATAATTCATTCGAGGCCTTAGAACATAGATAATGTAGATAACTAAATGGAGGATTTCCATGAATATGCATTAATACCTTGCAAAGTACATTCATGTTAGACACAAAGCTTTCATGCTACTGTAAAGAAAATTTATTCACATCATACGTTGTTTCTCTGCCATTTGCCAAATGTTCTCCATCCAGATACATTGATACAGATGATATTGTCTGTTCCAAAATGTGAGGCTTGGATAGTTAACCAATTAACTGCACTGATCTCCTATTTCAAGTGGAAAGAGATGAAG